GCCGCCGGCCCCACCCCCCGGGCCCGCTCCAGCCGCGCGCCCCGCCCGGTTTCGGGACCTGACGCCACCGGCCCGGTGCCCCGGAAAGCTTCCGATGGTTCTTTTCGTCAGCTCGTCTTGATTGCGGAACTCTCCACAATTCTCATAAATGAATGATTTTTTTTTTTTTTTTTTTTTTGGGTAGAAACGGGGGTCTCGAACTCCTGACTTCAAGCGATCCTCCCGCCACGGCCTTCCAAAGTGCTGGGAGGGATTACAGGCGAGCGCCACCACCCACGCCTGGTCAATGAATAACTTTAAAAAGGGCATTAGAATCTCATGATGAGGGCTATGTTCATTGATCATACACCAGCAGGGGGCTCTTCTCTGGCTTTCTTGGGAAACACACACACACACACACACACACACACACACACACACTCCCTTCTAGTAAAGTCCCTCCTGAGAGAATACTGCCCACGAGTGCCTGAGACGGTGAACTGGACCCAACCCAGGACAAAAGCCCTCACACATAGCCGTTTAGTCAAAGTTACAACGAATATGAACCAGGCTTCCGCACTTCCTTTTTTTTCTAGGCCAGTCAACCTTGAGAACAAATTTCTCTTCCAAAAAAATCAAGACCTGTTTTTTTTTTTCTTTTTTCAATGTAGCAAGGATTAAATGTCACCATTTTGATCCAGTTTTGTTCCTGTAGTGAAATAATCACTAAATAGCTACTTTGCCGGAATAAATTAATTTTTAAATCTATTTTTTATTTTCTAATTATAATTTTTAAACACAGATTTGAGGAAATTAACATTTATGTGGACATTTGGTTTCTAGCCTAATGTGGCATAAAAATAAGTAACATAATGAGTGTTAAAAAAAATCAGGTTCATGATGCTTCTCACATCATCATCATTGTGCTTAGATGTCACAACAGTATTATGTGCGATTATGTCAGATCCAGCCTTCTCCATCTCGGAGTGTTGGCAGGTAGGAGGGTTGTTGGCACGAGGAGGGGTGTTAACCTCAGGATCCTGGATACATTCCAAGGCTGGTAATTACATTCTGCCAGCCAAAATTCATCCCATAATTTTAATTGGATAAATCCTTTCTGGCCTAAGCTACTGACTGCTATGCCTGTCAAACTGTTGCCACATTTCACCCCAGAGGTGTCTGTGTTTTAGTTGCAAGAATCAGTCCCTTTGAGGTTGGCTTATCTGTTTCAATCCTCAAAGTGCTTTGGGATCCTATGGAATTAAATATATATTTAGCTATTTTTTATACCAACTCTATGTAGAAATGCATAAGCCAGATATATACCCATGTTAATACCTAAAGACCAATACCCATCTAAAAAATGTCAGCATTCACTAGATAATTTTGAGAGCTTTTTAACCAGATTGAGGTCCCTAACTTTCATGTTTCCTTTTGAGAGCTCTCTTGGCCTATAGCTTAACTTCCATTTTCTAGAAAGTACTGCAGTGTCCAAAGCTTCCTCCCATGGTAGGGCAAAGAATTTAAGGCCCTGCATTTCACCCTTCCAAACAAACATGTGATGACAGTCCTTGCTAAAATGAGGCAGCGTGGTGACAAGATAGCCCGTCAGTCTTTCATATTCTTCCAGAGAAAACAGTGTGGCACCTAGGGACATCATGGTTTCAGCTGCAGCAACTGCCAGGAAAGCTTTTTCCAAATTTTCTTGGTGAGTGAGACTACTTCTCCCTTACCGGGATACATGTTACTGCAGAGGCAGTGAGGAGGAAAGCATTTCTGAAAGCATCCCTTTCTCTACCCTACTTGCTTCAGACTTGAATGGAGAGGAAACAGGGACCCAGTGTTCTTAGTGGGGGCAGTGTCTGCCCCTACCCGAGGATGGTAAGCGTGTGTTTTGAGAAAATACAAGGAGACACATACCAACCTGTCCCATGAGAAGTTCAGCCATAAGACTGAAAGTATGATTTGTTCTCTTCAAGAATGGAAAGCCTCCACTGGTGCGTTCATTTCGCTGTGCCACGTGTAATCCTGACCATGTCATTACCTGAAAGAGCTGGATGTCACATTTCCGTGTACAGATCAAGCTTCTCATATTTATTTATCCTAGCAGTCTTTGGAGGGGTGCTTCATATTTTTTGAGTTAAGGTATTATTCCGTCTCCTTGTATCTCCTGCTAAGTCCACTTTCTGAGCGTTAGTTCTTTCTCTCATTCTGGTTCTTGGTCAGAAACAAGCCCTGGGGTAGAGAGCAGCTGAAACCCCCAAGGGCCAGTGGACAACAGCTGTTCCCCACCCTACCCTTTGCTTCCCTGTTAGACAAAGAAGAGAGACACATTTCTCTTGACCCTCTGTTTTCCTTTTTGCAAGCAAGGAGAACTCAGTTCTTATAGGAGCCTTTCCTGGGGAGGGTAAAAGGAAGAGGCCCTGCTGTGCTGTGGCTCCAAAGACTTCCCAGCCTACAGTCCGGGTGCTGGTTGAGCGGGTGGACACTAGAGTGAGGCGAGTGAGGTGCAGAATTGAAGTGGGTGCCAAAAAACTCGGTGATGCAGTACTTTTAAAAGTTAAAATTAATGCAAAAAAGAAATTTGTGGAGAACAAAATGTCAACATTTTAAGTAAAGCATGAGCCACTTGTGATTCCAGCAGCCTGGAAGGCTAAAACAGGATGATCATTTCAGGCCAGTAGTTTGATACCAACCTGGGCAGCCTAACAAGACCTTCATCTCTAAATATTTATTTATTTATTTAGTTATTTATCATTTGGGGTCTTACTCTGTAGCCGAGGCTGGAGTGCAGTGGCATGATCCCAATTCACTGCAGCCTCGACCTCCTGGGCTCAGGAAATCCTTCCACTTCAGCATCCCAAGTAGCTGGGACTATAGTGCACCACCACACCTGACTAATTTTTTTAAATTATTTTTTTGTAGAGA